CAGCATATGGTTCCACTGCTATCGGTACCAATCACACTCGTACGTCATCTTCTCTCTCACCGTGCGGGATTGTGAGAAGAACTGTGAAGTCTATCGTTGGTGACTCGGACAAGATACCTAAGCACCTTCTCTTCACTGGCAACCCTACTGGTACCTACTTCCCTTGGCGCGTTGCGGTATGTGATCTACTCCGTCACCATCATTCACTTCCTAACGACATCTCTGCGGAAGTTGCCCTACACTGTATCACGGAACCTCTGAAGTCTACTATCCGCAGTAAGATCACCCATAGTGATATACTCGCTAGTGGTGTCTCTGCTGTGTGGTAAGTAATGGATAAACGTTACAATACAAACCTTGAGCTCAGATCCCTTGAGAATGCCTTGGACGCCTTATCACAGGAACCATCTGAGTCGACTCTGGACTTCTGTACTCGCTTCGAGAAGTTGTGACACGTCAAGCAGTCAGTTGTCCCCGATGAGGCTGCCCAAGACTCCTCTATCATTCGACGACTCAAGAAAGGTTTGAAGGATCCCAAGGCTGTGCTAGCTGCCTCGCTAGCGGATCCCCTCAACAAGATGGACTTCGACACGTTCAAGGACACTCTCTTAGCTGTTATCGATGATCTACCCGATATCAACGCCCTCACCAAATCCGCTCCGAAAGGCGACAAAAGCAAGTCCCGGTCCGTCGACGATGACTCCAACATCATGGCATTATGGCCCGCTGTAAAGCAAGTCCTGACGACATCATCCGCAAGGACGAAAGGTGCAAACGGTGTGGTCGCTTAGCTGATTCCAAGCATCGTTGTGACTCGAGTAGATTCCATTGTAAGCGATGTCGTAAGGCGCATCATCTCGCTGGCGTATGTCTCAAGAAGTTTTCCAACTCGTCGGCGCCATCTAACACCAACAACCACCAGTCCAACAACGCTTCTGACATCAAGCTAGTCAACAACTCGGCTGCTTACGTGAGCGTTGCCAATGCCCAGATAAACTACTCAGCATCTGACCTATTCGCTACCTCCTCACCTGACCCCACCATCACTGTTCGGCTAGGTACTGGTGCCCTGGGTCCTCGCTGTGATGTTTCCTGTCTGGTGGATACGGGAGCTAACATCTCCCTAGTGGATGCGTCTGTCGTCAAATTCTCATTGGACAACACCGTCATCCCATCTGACGCGGTCTCCACGCTAGACCATCCTCTGAAAGTAACCTACGGTAATAACTCAACCACTTCCACTTCTACCATCGTCTCGGTAAACTGTTCACTACAGCAACCTCCGTCTGACGTAGGGTTGGTCGAGAGTCTCGACTCGAGACTCGTCTATTATTCTTACAAGTCGAACAATGCCATCCTCGAGTTATCATCGGCAGGAACATGTTCGACTCGCTCGGTATCATCTTCACCTCTACGAAGGGCATCTCTTTCAATGGTGGCCTATCCCTATCATCCAGTCGCCAGGATAACGCCTCTCAGACCGACGAGTCATCTGTCTACCACAACTCATCATGTGCTATTATCAACTTATCCTCGACCGATGAGTCGACTTTACCTACTGTCGACTTCACTGCTGAGTCCAGCGCTGAGCCATAGCCACCTGTCGTCGAGTCTCTACCGACGTGTAACCTCTGATATCGGTGGTTCAAGACGGCACAGGCAAACGACTTTGCTGTGATATCGATCCCATCGGCAATGCCACGGTCTGGCCCTACCGAGCGGCTCAACGAAAGCGCACCACTGCCGATGCTGAGATCATCTACCAGAAACTCTGCGCGATGGAAGCGCGAGGCAAGGTTCGTCGAGTCCAGGATTCTGAGCTCTCTATCGTATGCGAACCGATTCTCATTGACAAACTCGACCGTGCCGATGGAAAGAGTAAGATTCGAACGGTACCTGTCTCTGACAGTGAGCTCTGATCTCGGTATCGCTTGGTCATCGACACCAGACCTCTCAACTCCTTGCAATTGAGCTACGACGACGCTGGCAACTTCATCTCCCTACCTGGCGGTGAGATCCCCAAGGACAGTAAGCAGCGTGATGAGTTCTCGTACAAGCAGCATCAACGGACTGCGACTAACCTTTTACGAGATGTCCCATCTGCCAATCTTGGTTTTTGGTCCATGCTAGATCTACGAGATGCTTACGGTTGTATTGCAGTTACCAAGTCCCTTCAGAAGCTCTTCGGTACAACATCTATCTGTCCACGCACCGGTGTGACCGTACGATGGGCTCTCACTTCCCTTCCCCAAGGGTGGCGCTGGTCATCTCTGGCATTCCAGGTAGGCTTCGGTACTCTGCTCGACACCGTCATCAACCCGAAGCTGGTTGCCGATGGTATTGCTGCAACTGTCGTGCATGTACAAGACGACGTCTTGGTCTCATCACAAACCATTGCTGATGGGGAGAAGGCCTTGAGAGTGCTGACTGACATCCTTACCGAGTACGGATTCATCATCAACCAAGAGAAGTCTCAGTCACCGGCCAAGTCAACAACCTTCTGTGGTCTACTACTACACGGCCGAACCTACCGACCTCTACCTGCCAAACGGGAAATCCCCGAGGCTACTTTCAACGCCGCGTTCAACGATTTCCTCAATGGGAAAGCTCCACCCAAGCGTCGAGGTCGTCGTCGTGTCAAGCACTCAGCTGAATCACTCCGTCACAACCGTCTCTCATGGCTGAGAAGCTGGACCGGTGTATTCAACTACTTCTCGGGCCATCTATTACCCGACGCTATTGCTGCTCTCCGGACTCTGAACGGAGCCATCAAACACTACCAAGATGAGGCTACTTCTGCCGACTTTTTGGAGACCCTCACCACACCCACTTCTGATGCTTTCAAAGTTCTGCTCCGAGCTTACATAGCAGGCACTCTACCGTCCTCGCTTGGTAACGATGGTATCGGTACTCTCGCTGTGGTGGACGCCAACAATGACAGCTATGGCGCTATCATCTTCAAGGTCTTCGAGCTTTCCGGAGATGCGACCGAGTTTGCAACGTACTCCAAGACGGTGTTCAACTGCATCCCCAACCTAGGTGAGCCCTTCAATATCTCTGAAGATCGTGTCGCCATTCTTCCACTCCGTGTCTGCGGTGAGAGGTTCTCCAAAGTGGAATCCTCAAGATCTAGCACTTGGCGTGAACGTGCTGCCCTGCTCAACGTTATCCACGACAACCAGTGCCTCTTGTCTGGTAGAATAATCTGCGGTGACCCACTACAATTGGGACGAGTGGAGTTATACGAGGGCTCACTCATGTATCCACCATCCTCATTCCCGACATATCCTTTCTGGCGGAGTGAAGTTTGGTCGCTCATGGGACCGACCGTAATGTATCTCAGGGAGTTCCATAGAGGGTCGGATGCAGCATACTTGGGACTTCTCTCTGAAATACGAGCCGGTCCAAGGAAGAACTCGGGAACACCGATCTTCTCGGATGACTCACTCGGAGTGCTCGACAAGATCCGAGACCGAGACGGTGGGAAGCACCCTCCGAGGCAAGTGCATACTCCTTCAGACCGGGTTATTCGCTCTCAACCTTCGTTCCGTGTAGGTTTCCGCACACCGTTATCTGCCTGACAAATGACGAAGCAGACGACTACAACGCGGAACGACTGGCGGATTTACCAGGCGAAGGAATTGTCATTGAGGCAATTGATACTGATGGCCCTATGCCCGCCAACTTGGATATGCGAGCCATCGCCAAAGTAGGCTTCAGAGAGACAGTGGTCTTGAAAGTCGCCTGTCCTGTTATCGCGACGTCGAACGATATACGTGGTCGGTACTCTAACGGCTTGGTTGGAGTGGTGGAGCGAATCACGCCGTCGCCTAAAGGGAGAGAAGTGGTCTGGGTGAAGTTCAAAGGGTACGGCTCACCAGTATCAGTTGGCAGAGAGAAGTTCACTGTCCATGACATAGATGGCTCTATCTTGTTTGCTCGACGACAAGTTCCTCTAACGTTGGCCTTTGCCATTACTGCCCATCGCTCCGTGGGGCTAACGTTAGAGGGAGTTTGGGCACGATTGCCCTGCAATAAAGATCGTGCTGAAAAGAGAAGCTACCCACAAGACCGCCTCTGGGAACAGAGCTGGCTCACCCACCAATATCGGGGTTATCGTGACGACCTTAGCATCACATGAAACGTGACGACCACCAATATCGAAGAGATTTTGATGGCCTTAGTAATGCATGAAATTTGACGACGACCACTATCGGGCCTATTTTAACGACCTCAGTATCACATGAAATTTGACGACCACCACTATCGGAGGAATTTTGACGACCTTAGTATGACATGAAATTTGACGACCACCAATATCGGAGAGATTTTGATGGACTTAGTAATGTATGAAATTTGACGACAACCAATATCGGAGGTATTTTGACGACCACCATTATCGGAGGTGTTTTGACGACCTCAATATCACATTAAATTTGACGACCACCAATATCGGGCTATCGTGACGGCCTTAGCATCACATGAAATGTGACGACCACCACTATCGGAGGTATTTTGACGGCCTTAATATCACATAAAATTTGACGACCACCAACATCGGAGAGATTTTGATGGCCTCAGTAATGCATGAAATTTGACGACCACCACTATCGGGCCTATTTTAACGACCTCAGTATCACATGAAATTTGACGACCACCACTATCGGGGATATCGTGACGGCCTTAGCATCACATGAAACGTGACGACTACCAATATCGGAGGTATTTTGACGACCTTAATATCACATGAAATTTGACGACTACCAATATCGGAGGTATTTTGACGACCACCATTATCGGAGGGATTTTGATGACCTTAGCATCACATGAAACGTGACGACTACCAATATCGGAGGTATTTTGACGGCCTCAGTATTATATAAGATTTTACGACCACCAATATCGGAGGTATTTTGACGACCTTAATATCACATGAAATTTGACGACCACCATTATTGGAGGGATTTTGGCGGCCTTAGTATTACATGAGATTTTACGACCACCAATATCGGAGGTATTTTGACGACCTTAATATCACCAAAAATTTGACGACCACCAATATCAGGCTATCGTGACGGCCTTAGCATCACATAAAATGTGACAACCACCACTATCGGAGGTATTTTGACGGCCTTAATATCACATGAAATTTGACGACAACCAATATCGCAAGTATTTGACGGCCTTAGTATCACATGAAATTCGACAGCCATCAATATCGGAGGTATTTTGACGGCCTTAGTATCACATGAAATTCGACGACTACCAATATCGGAGGTATTTTGACGACCACCATTATCGGAGGGATTTTGATGACCTTAGCATCACATGAAACGTGACGACTACCAATATCGGAGGTATTTTGACGGCCTTAGTATTATATAAGATTTTACGACCACCAATATCGGAGGTATTTTGACGACCTTAATATCACATGAAATTTGACGACCACCATTATTGGAGGGATTTTGGCGGCCTTAGTATTACATGAGATTTTACGACCACCAATATCGGAGGTATTTTGACGACCTTAATATCACCAAAAATTTGACGACCACCAATATCAGGCTATCGTGACGGCCTTAGCATCACATAAAATGTGACAACCACCACTATCGGAGGTATTTTGACGGCCTTAATATCACATGAAATTTGACGACAACCAATATCGCAAGTATTTGACGGCCTTAGTATCACATGAAATTCGACAGCCATCAATATCGGAGGTATTTTGACGGCCTTAGTATCACATGAAATTTGACGATAACGACTATCGGGGCTATCTTGACGACCTTAATATCACACGAAATTTGACGACCGCTAATATCGGAGGTATTTTGACGGTCTTAGTATTACATGGAATTTGACGACAACCACTATCGGAGGGATTTTGACGACGTTAGTATCACATGAAATTTGACGACCACCAAAATACTCCCGATAGTAGTAGTAGTAGTAGTAGTAGTAGTCGTCCTATTTTATGTGATGCTGGAGTCGTTGGAATGTCCCCGACAGTGGTTGTCGTTAAGTTTCATGGGACACTAGGGCCGTCAAGATTTGGTGGTCGTCAAGTCTCGTATGATACTCTTGCCGTTAAAATACTTCCGATAGTGCCACTATCATAGTGGTGGTCGTCGATTTCCATGTCATATTAGCGCTGTCTTATTGTCCCCGGTAGTGGTTGTTGTCAAATTCATGTAATACTGGGCCCTCATAATACCACCGAGTGTGGCAGCCATCAAGATATATGAGACACTAGGGCCGTCCACATATTCTCTAGAGCAGGTGTTGTAGTAGCGCTACGCACTAGCGTATCGTTCACAGCTGCGGTGATGAGATGCGATAGTTGTGGTTAGCCAGTTACGACTAGCAGATTGCCTCGTGTATTGTGATTCTAAATTGACGAAGTCTGTTTAGAACTCAAGCTCAAGCGAATCTGGAGCAAAGCGACAAACATCAATTGAATTCTGAGCCGAAGGACTAGGAGATGAATAATTCAGAGCAGTTCGCCTTCTACGTTGATGAATCGCGGAAGACACACAACCATCTCGTCTCGATCGAAGAAAGTCAAAGAATATCGCCAAGTAATCGGCTCGCCGAACACTATTCGCCTTATAGCGTTCACGCAGAGGCCACTTTTTAAAGCATAAATCTGAGTATTAGGTCGTTCGTCATGATTCAACAAATACCACAAGTCTCCACTACCAATTGGATCAGCCAAACTGAACTTGGAGTTGTAGTATAGTGACAAATGATGGCTACGCTCCTCAATCAGTAACAGAGAAGCATCCGCTGGGTGACCTTCACAGAGAAAGCCCTCAGGCGCCTCCGCTCCCTTAACCTGGTGGTTCGACACCCTAGAGTAGATTATGCATTCGCCTTGCTCGAACTCCCGAGCAGCAACGAGCACTCGTCCAACATCTGCGTGGCATACAACCCGAAAACCCATAGCTTTAAGAAAAGGACGATGGATGCGATCGAGTGGACTTGCTGGGAGGCTCACTACTGTTGTGCGACTGCGGGTATTATTCGACGTCGAAAGTTTAGGTGACTGCTGCCCGCTCGAGTTGGTTGTATTGGAATCCGGAGCGGTGAGAAGCCCGAGGAACCTTCTTAACTCGTAATTCCCACACGCGGACTGCTTAACGGATTCACCCGGCTTGAGCAGCGATACCATCGTTCCACACGTTGAAACCCATATGATCCCATGGATATGAGTAGCCCGGCATTCGAATACAACTTTTCCAACAGCCGAGGGAGCATCCAGAACTAAGCACTTGCTCGAAAAAGGCCACCATGTCCCCCACTCGTCCCCGTGTTTAGTCATCAAGAGGCCATGATCCGTCATGACTAGATGCTGCTGCGAGTACGCTGCACCCTCGCGTATGAGGAGAATGAACGTGGCTGGGCACCGTGGGTAGTTCCTTGATAAGTCATGAGCTCCAATCTTCAGGGGAGTCGTGTCAACCGACAATATCTGAGAGTCAATCAAGTAGGTGAAAGGGAATACTAAGTATCCCAGACTCACCTCTGACAGGCTCCCGGGAATGCGGGACAGTGCTTCGCCACCTGATCCATCATGCATGAGCTCAGGATTCATCGCAGACCACAGTGTAGTTCGATACCTACAACGAGATGAAAAGAGCACCGTGCGTAGCAGATTCAGGTGCCTCACCTTCTGCATCAAGAGGGTCAGTACTCGTGCGGTCCTCAGAAAAAGGCGCGACATTTAAAAACCGCTGCGACTGTTCTGAGAAACCCTCGGGGACTTGAAACATTGTTTCGCCGCGGGATTCGCCATGCGCGAGCTCAGGACCCACAGTAGGGCCAGGATGTATTCCAGAGCCTACAATGACATAGAAATATCGCGCAGCTCACACAACTGCTCCACCTTGAGCAGTATTGGTCATACAATCCTCAGTAGAGGCTGCAGCATCTAGGACTCGTTGCAACGGTCCTGAGAAGCTCTCGGGGAGTGGAGACACGGCTTTGCAACCCGTCCGGTCATTGTTGATCCGAGATCCCGAAGCAGGACTTGAACGTAATCCAAGACCTACAATGGAACGAGAGGACCATGATGCATAGCATATTCGAATGCTTCACCTTCTGCATTAGTGCTTCCATGATCCTTAATACTGAACGCGGCACCCGAAGCTCCTTGCAGCTGTTCTGATCCCGGGAATGCTTCGCAAGGAGAGACCGACATCTCGAGCAGATCGGTCGGTAGTCGAGT